AATAGTTAGTATGATATGCATGAGATTATAAGATTGATCAATTTTATTTAAGTTTTCATTGCATTCTCAACAATCATCCATAAAAACCACAAATTCTTCAAGTGGTTAAACGAATAATGTAAGAACAACATAGTAGATGCATTACCGAGAAGGTACACCCTTGTCTATCAAAAGCATGATACTATTATGGGATTTGAAAACATTACGAATTTATGTTCTAATAACTTAAATCTTTTTGTTATATAAACTCATTCCTTTAAAAGTTCTTTTAATGGGTTTTATGTTGTAGATGGGTTTCCTTTTCAATAGAACAAGTTATGAATTCCACAAAGCTCCTTGTGAGAATTCTCAGTACATGAACAACACTTAGGAGACTTAATGGATTACTTTAACAACCAATTGGCATGGTTTTTAACACTCATTTTTTCCACACACAAGTAAAACCATAGAGAGAACATATAAAGCAATCATAAACAAAGTCAACATTGGTTGATGCCATGTTGAATTTTAACCTAAACACCAGATTACAAGACTTGTATACGAAAGAGGATTTCAAGATAATAAGAAATAAGTTCCAAAAAAGAAGAAACCTTTATTGAAATGCATAAAGACACAGCACATTGATTCGGGTACGTGTTTCATAAGCATTTCTATTAACATATATAATTTTTTTCTTTCGGATTTTGATATTCGTGAATGAATTCCTTTCATGAGAGGTGGAATGATACATGCTTCAGAATCTATGATGATAAGAGTACACACTTCTTTGGACTAATGTTTCTACTTGAACCTATTAGAAGAATAAAGTCTCAAAGATTCAAAGACCATCTATCTGGTAAGTATAATGTGAGTTAATCCTTAAAAGTATCTTACTTTTCTCCTTTTGGTGTTTCAAATTCAAGGTTGAATCTTTTTGAAGAGATTAAGGATGATACATACATCACAAGCCTCATATCAATGGAAGATGGACTAGCTTTCCCAATTGATACACACGTCCAATCCTTACAAAAGAACACCAGAAGAACAACTTACTTGCAATGACTTTTTGAATGAGAACTAGGTGTTATTTGGTTAATATGTCTTTTGAAGATACGACTGAATGTCTCTTATCTTTTCAATTTTACTTGAAACACATCAATCGGATATAAAGAACTTGAGGTATGACTACTTTAGCGAATAAATTCTTTTATGTGATTAATACATGATATTGCACATATTAAGAATTATTAATATTTTATTGATTATTTGTACTATAATTTAATATAGGATGTTTTACTATCTTTTAGGATTATATTATGTATTTTATTAGGATTTAGAATTAAAATATCTTTAGTTTATTATTATTTTATTCATTTGTTACTTAGGACTTTTATAACTCATCTCCTATATAAAGGAGGCTTTATTCACTATTATAAAACATATTTTTTCTTGAATAATAATAATACAACATGAGTATGTTTTTCAAGTGTTGATAGCCTTGTGCCTTTAAAGCATTATTCATCATCAAGTTCTTTATGAGGGAGATCTTCTCACTCCAGTTTGCCTCTTTATTGTGATTAGGATGGATGGTTAGAGTTGATTATAAAAGTTTTCTTGTCAATTGTGGCCATTGAAGTGTTGAAAACATTTTGATATTTCGATATAACAAATTAAGTTAAATGAATTTTAAGATTTTCCAAATGATTTTCTAAGTATATTTGATGAAATTATTCGAATATAAAAACATTACTCCAAATCTTTCAAAGATCATTTTTAATCCTTACTCAAGTGTAAAATTAAGTTTTAATCTTAAAATAATTTCAAAATAATTTTACAAAGTATTTCGAACCATTTCAAAGCCAAAAATTCCAGATTGCTCAGAGGGAACCGATTCCCCCTGAATGGTTTGGCTCCGAGAAATCCAGAATGCTCGGAGGGAACCGATTCCCCCTTGTATAACGATCGAAATATTTGAATTTTACACTTAGGGAACCGATTCCTCATAGGGGGTACCGATTCCCCATAGGGGGTACCGATTCCCCCCACGCTCAAAACTATTTTATTAATTATTTTCACACTAAAACGTCTATATTATTTTCTCTAATCATCCCCAACATTCAGAAGTGATTCAAGGTGTATTTAAGCAAGCTTAGAAGACATTGATCAATAACAAGAAACATCAAGCAATTAGAATCAAGAGAGAATCAAAGAGAAAGCATCAAACCTCAAGTTTGAGCATTTCAAGCCTATTTTTCATTCAATATTCATTTTGCTTTCAAGAAAACTTATTGTGCTCAATTGTATTTATTCTTGAGTGTTCTTTCTTTGTTCTAGAATTGTGCAAACATATTTGCCTTGTGAGGTTTTTCTTGTAAGTTAGCAAATTTGTATTTCTCTTTGAGAAAAGAGTGTTCTCAAGAATTGGGGTATATTCTTGAGGGAGTTGTAAGTTTATCTCTTTGGCCTCAAAAGAAAGAACAAATTAGTGAATTTGTTGGAAAATCCTTAGTGTGGATAGCTAAGGTAGTGGACGTAGACTTTGGTTGATAAAGTCAAACCACTCTAAATCGCTATGCAATTTCTTTCAATTTTCTGCAAAAGCTTCCACCAATATTTTTATTGCCAATTCACCCCCCTCTTGGCTGATTCAGTCAATCGATTAACTCAACAATTGGCATCAGAACCTAACTCATTTGAAGGTTTAATCGCCTCTTGAGTCGATTCGGGAAGAGTTATATCGATAATTAAAGTCATCAATGGCATCCGCTTCAAACTTCGACTCCTGTCTCGATTCGATGCCCGTCAACAAGCATCTTTTCTTCAATGGAGATAACTATTCCTATTGGAAGAATAGAATGATGTACTTCATTCAAGCAAGTGACATGGGAGCATGGAATTCCGTAGAAGAAGGATACATCAAACCTCTCACTCATCCAAGGTTGTGGAGTGAAGGAGAGACAAGAATGTTCCAGCTTAACTCCAAAGCCATCCATATCATTTTTTGTGCTCTTGGACCAGATGAATACAGAAGAGTTTCATCGTGTACAACCACCAAAGAAATATGGGACAAACTTCAAGTCACTCATGAAGGTACCGATGAGGTAAAGAAATCTAAAATTAGTATTCTAACGCATAGCTATGAAAATTTCAGGATGAAACCAAATGAAGATATCAAAGCTATGACGGATAGATTTTCAACGATTGTCAATGGTCTCAAATCATATGGAGAGATCATTTCAAATGAAAAGCTTGTGAGGAAGTTAGTCTACTCCCTCCTAAAATCGTGGCAATCAAAGAAGACGGCAATCATCGAGTCTAAGGACTTAACGTCCTTAACTCTTGAAGAGCTAATTGGGTCACTCCTCACTCATGAAATGATGCTCGAAGATGAGGTGGACCTCGACAAGATTGACGAGACACCAAAGGAGAAGGAGAAGAAGAAAAACATTGGAGTTGCTCTCAAATCCACAAAAGATGAGAGTGATTCGAATGACGATGACGATGACGAGGAAATGGCATTGTTTGCCAAACTGTTCAGAAAAATGATGAGACCTTATCGAGGAAGAAAATTCAAATGAAATGAAGGCCTCAAAAATGAACCGAAAGAGAAGGACCCAATCATTTGCTACGAATGCAAAAAGCCAGGGCATGTCAAATATGATTGCCCATAATTGAAGAAAAAGGGTCAATCAAAGAATAAGCACAGGGCTCATGTGGCTACATGGAGCAATGAAGAAAGTTCCGATGAAGAGAAACAAGAAGTAGCTAACTTGTGCTTGATGGCATTCGGGGAAGATTCTAAGGTAACCTCTAACTCATCTGATTTTGATGATTTATCCTATGATGAGTTATTAGAGGAATATAATGGGTTGGCTTTGGATTATGAGAAATTATTTTTAAAATATAAAAATGATGTTTCAAAATTGAAAAATGAAAACAAACTCATATCCAAAACCAACAATGATCTTGAAAGTAAAATCAAAGATTTGCAAATCAAACTAGAAGAGTTTGAAAAGAAAAATTTAGATTTGCAAAATTTACTTTCAAAGATCAATGATGATCATCAAAAGAAAATTGATGATCTTAAAATTTCTTTTGATAAAGTTGGAACAAAACATTTTGAAAAAGGTGGAAATTCAAAATCCAACTTTGTTACAAAAAGATTTAGAAACTACAATCATAGAGGTCCCCAAAGAACCTCTAATGGAAAAATCGTTAGAAGTATGTGGGTTCCTAAAGAATTCATTAATACTAAAGATAAAAATATCCTACACAAATGGATACCTAAGGGGACTAGGATTTTGGAAACTAATGAATATGGACCCAAAAGAATTTGGGTACCAAAAATCAAAAATTAATCTATGTTTGTAGGGAAAGGAGCATTGCTACAAGTCACGGGAAACAAATTCAAATTCATGGTACCTTGATAGTGGATGCTCAAGACACATGACCAGAGATAAAAGCCGGTTCATTGAGCTTAACGCTAAAAATGGAGGAGAAGTGACTTTTGGAGACAATTCAAAAGGTCACATTGAAGGTATTGGTACAATAGGTAATACCTCTTCCATACAAATTAAAAATGTTTTATATGTGAATGGATTAAAGCATAATCTATTGAGTATTAGTCAATTATGCGATAAAGGATTCAATGTCTTATTTGAAATTAATGGTTGTAAAGTCATTGACATTGCATCTAATCGGATTATGCTTGTTGGTTATAGAATAGGAAACATATACATGGTGCATTTAGATTCTTTTGATATGACTAATTTATGCCTAGTTGCTAAGGATGAGCATGATAGTTGGTTATGGCATAGGAGACTAGGACATTCTAGTATGAGTGTTTTGCAACGGTTAGTTCAAGGAGAATTGGTTCGAGGGCTGCCTAAACTAAAATTTGATAATGATAAAATCTGTGATGCTTGTGCTAAAGGAAAACAAAAGCGAGTTTCTTTTAAATCCATTAATGATGTATCAACTAGTAGAGTTTTATAATTGATCCATTTAGATCTTTTTGGGCCAACTAGAACTACTAACTTGGGTGGAAAACAATATGCATTTGTCTTGGTAGATGACTATTCTAGATATACTTGGGTTCTATTCTTAAGTACAAAAGATGAAGCATTAGAACATTTCATCACATTTTCAAAAATTATCCAAAATGAAAAAGGTTACTCTATAACTAGTGTTAGGAGTGATCATGGAACTGAATTTGAAAATCTTGGATTTACTGAATTTTGTAACTCTAACGGTATTAGCCATAATTTTTCAGCACCTAGAACCCTTCAACAAAATGGAGTTGTTGAGAGGAAAAATCGAACTTTATAAGAAATGGCTAGAACCATGCTTTGTGAAAATAATTTGCCAAAATATTTTTGGGCGAAAACCACAAATACCGCTTGTTATGTTGTAAATCGAGTAATGATTAGGCCAATTTTAAAGAAAAATCCATATGAAATTTTCAAAAATAAAAAGCCTAACATTAGTTATTTTCATCCTTTTGGATGTAAATGTTTTGTTTTAAACAACGGTAAAGAAAATCTTGGCAAATTTGATGCTAAAAGTGATGAAGGAATTTTTTTGGGTTCTTCCTTAAATTCTAAAGCTTATCGTGTATTTAATAAAAGAACTTTAGTTTTAGAAGAGTCTATACATGTTGTTTTCGATGATAATCCCCTTCCGAGGAAGGATTCTTGTGTGAATGATGATGTAGGTGTTATAAATACAAATGACGTTAGACATGACGTTGGAGAACCATCATCAAATGAAGAAACGAAAAATGAGGAAACTATGTCAAGAGAGTACAACTATGTCAAGGATGGTGAAATTATAGGTGATCCATCCAAAGGGGTAACTACTCGATATTCTCTTAGAAATATTTGTAATTATGTTTCATTTATTTCATGCATAGAGCCTAAGAACATCAAAGAAGCATTAAAAGATGAACATTGGATTATGGCTATGCAAGAAGAATTAAATCAATTTGAGAGAAGTAAAGTATGGACATTAGTTGAAAGGCCTAGTAATAAAACAACTGTAGGTACTAGATGGGTATTTAGAAATAAGCTTGATGAAAGTGGTACTATAGTGAGAAACAAGGCTAGACTTGTTGCTCAAGGGTATACTCAAGAAGAGGGCATAGACTATGATGAAACATACGCTCCCGTAGCTAGGATGGAAGCAATTAGAATGTTACTAGCATTTGCATGTTTTCATGAATTTAAATTATATCAAATGGATGTTAAAAGTGCATTTTTAAATGGTTTTATAAAGGAAGAAGTGTATGTGGAACAACCTCCAGTTTTTGAAGTTTCAAAATTTCCAGACCATGTTCTTAAATTGACAAAAGCTCTTTATGTCTTAAAACAAGCTCCTAGAGCACGGTATGAAAGATTGTCAAATTTTTTAATTGAAAAAGGTTTTTCAAAAGGGAAGGTTGACACTACATTATTTTTAAAGCATAAAGGTAAAGATTTATTAGTAGTTCAAATTTATGTTGATGATATAATATTTGGTTCTACTAATGATGTTCTTTGCCAAGAATTTTCTAAGCTAATGCAAAGTGAATTCGAAATGAGCATGATGGGGGAGCTCTCATTTTTCTTGGGACTCCAAATCAAGCAAAGAAAAGATGTCATCTTCATCAATCAAGCTAAGTACGTCAAAGATATGCTCAAAAAGTTTGGACTGGAAAATGAGAAACCTCATGACACTCCAATGAGCTCTTCAACAAAGCTTGACTTAGATGAAGGAGGTAAATGTGTAGATGTCAAATTATATAGGTCAATGATTGGCTCTTTGCTTTATCTAACTGTAATTAGACCGGACATTATGTTTAGTGTTTTCTTATATGCTAGATTTCAATCATGTCCTAAGGAATCACATTTACTAGTTGTTAAGAGAATCTTTAGATACCTTAAGGACACTCCTAGTTTAGGGCTTTGGTATCCTAGAGACTCTAGCTTTAGCTTGCATGCTTTTTCTGATGCGGATTATGGAGGATGCAAATTAGATAGGAAAAGCACCTCCGGTACTTGCCAATTCCTTGGAAATATGCTAATTTCTTGGTTTTCAAAGAAACAAAATTGTGTTGCATTATCTACCACTTAAGCCGAATACATTTCAGCTAGTTGTTGCTGTGCACAAGTTTTATGGATGAAACAACAACTTTTTGATTATGGAATTGAAGTAGGTACCATTCCTATCAAGTGTGACAATACTAGTGCTATTTGTCTCACTAAAAATCCCATCCAACACTCTATAACTAAGCACATTAAAATAAGACATCACTTCATTAGAGACCATGTCACTAAGGAATATGTAGTTCTAGAATTTGTTGATACTTTGCACCAATTAGCGGATATCTTTACAAAACCCTTAGACAAGGAAAGATTTTGGAAACTTAGGAGAGAATTAGGTTTGACCAACCTATCTTCACTTAGTGTTTAAAATAATTTTGGCACTTTTAATAATAAATGAAAAATGCTTATAATAGTAATTTTTGATTGCATTCATTGCTATTAGTTAGGGGGAGTTTATGAATCTTAATGAAAAATTAATTTTATGTTCAAACATCGTTTAAATATTAGTTTAATTATTTGAACATGATTAATTTTCAATATATGAGTTGCCAATACCACTAGAGGAAATTAATTTAGCATTTTGGGTGTTTAAAATCGGATTTTAGCATTTTGGTGCAGAGGGAATCGATTCTCCCTTTAGGGAACCTCTCAACTCTCTCCCTATCTCCATTCTTGCCTCAAATCATCGATTTTAATCGGAATTCACTTCAAATATCATCTCCTAAACTTGCAATCATCATTAAAATCATGCAAACAACATCAAAATCCACTCAATCTCATCCTTCAAGGTAAAATTTTCTAAACTCCCTATTTTATTGATTTTGAACATATGACTTGTTTTAATTAGTTCTAGGATGAACTTTAGATCAGGCATTGATTGTTTAGTGATTAGAAACTAGATATTACAACCAATTTCATCAAAAACACAAGAATTTTCCAAATTTTTTAAATTTTCGAAATTAAAAAAATGTTAATTTTCAAATTATTGTGTTTTGATTAAATTATGTTGTTGTTATGAAAACTATACATATATTGTTTCTCAAAACCATATTTTTCAAAAGTTTTTAAAAACTTTGCCCATTAGGATTGATTTAGAGAACCTTGAAATATTGAGGACTCAATTGACTTTTGGGATTGATTGAATTGCATACATGTGTTTTCTAAATTGCAGGTTATCAATTCTATTCCAATTTTCTAAACCATGTCCAATCCTAAACGTGCTAGGTCATCATCTAGTCGCTCACACCGTCAACCAAATCCTCCTCCTATTCCAATTTCTAATCCTAATCCCATTGATCCTAACTTGATTATCCAAAATTCATGTTTCAATCATCCTGGTCCTAGAAATCATCGTTTTTGGTATTATCAATATTTCGACTCTTACAAAATCCGGGAAGAACGTATTCCTTCTCGTCAAGCTATGTTAGCTATCAATTTTAAATATCTCCCTCTTTTACAAGAGTGGAAATTTGATAAACTCTTTGACCTTGAACCCATCGTTTATCATCAACTTGTTCGTATTTTCTATTCTAATGGCATTTATGTTAAAAACCAAACTGAAACCGAAACCATAGGAATTCGTTCCTACCTCCTAGGATAATTCTTATATATTAACTCGGCTTACATAGCCAATACATTCGGATTAGATAATGATGGTATTTCAAATGAAAAACAGGTTTTAGGATCTCTTTATAAAAGAAGGGATAGTGCAAGTGTCTTAGATCTTCATGAATGTTTTCTTCATCTAATGATTTCTTGGTGGTTTCGACCATCCAGAGGTCGTTATTCTACTCTTAGAGCCTTAGATCTTTGGTGGTTACATTGTTTCGAAAACAGTATTAAAATTAACCTACCTCAGATTATTTTTGCTGAAATTATTGAAACCGTAAATCTTGTTCCTAACAAGAAACTATGTTCATCCCTAGTTTACGGTTGCATTTTGAGTAATCTATTTTCCAAAGCTGGGCTTAGAGTCGGTCTAGATGTCGTTTTTCCCCTTAAGAAACAAATTAACCTTCTCTCCTTAACAAGAGCGGGATGGATCAAGGATAAGGAAACCGGTGAATGGGTTCGATCTTCTGCAAATACTCCGGAAGCTAGTTCTTCACAAGCTCCACCCGAAGCTGACGAAGATCTCTAGCTTGAGCAATTAATGCGAGACATCGATGAAGCCGAAGATGAGCCTGAGCAGCCCAAGGAGCAGCCCGAAGAGCAAGCACAACAAACGCATCAAATGCCTCCAGATTTTCAATCCTTTATGGAGACATTCGATTTCCGATACGCTACCATGGATTCACGCTTTTCTTCTATAGAGTCCCACTTATCCACAATGGGAGCTCAACAATTAGAAATTCTTCGGGAGATGCGTGCAAACAATGAAGCAACCAACGCACGTATTAATGACCTCACTCACGAAATGGCCACTATGCGAGCTCGTTTTCCTCCTCCTGATCCTGATATGTGATTCTATGTTTTTCTTTGAACTCCAAACTTATTGTTTTAACTTTTTGAATATTTTGGAATGTTTGAATTTGTGGATTGATTGACTTTGAATTTGTTTGGATTTATGAATGGTTAGAAATTATCTATTTGGTGTGATTAAATTTATTCATTATTGCATCATTTACTTCATGATTAGATATATGACCAATTTTTCCATTTCACATTAACTATGAATATTGATTATGAAACTAATGGCTAACGTTTCTCTTGCTTGTGATCTTAGAAGCTTAAAATATAATCAAATGACTAAATGATTTCAAAACCTTGTTTAATTCTTTAAAATGTCTTTTTGATTTAACAAAAAGGGGGAGAAGTGTTAAATGTGTTAAATGGGAGAAGTGTTAAAGTAAGGGGGAGTAATTTCAAATTTCAAAACTTGTAATTTCAAAACTTGATTTCAAAATCTCAAAATCTTAAAATTACTAAAATGTTTTGTTATATCAAAAAG